TAACTATTTGAAACAAACAACATATGGTAAGGAAAGGTAAAAAAACCAGTTCTGTGGTGTTAATTCAGGTGATATTAATCATTTGCTCATACGCTTTACATACATTAACCGTTATTTCTTTTTCTTTCTTTTCCACCGCCATTCTCCCCCACCTCTTCACGATCTTCCGACTCGGTCCTATCTTACAAATGAATGAAAACGACGGGAATATAAAACACAAAAATAACGCGCACCATTTTTAGGATTCTTTTTTCTCTCTCTCTCTCTCTCTCTCTCTCTCTCACGCATTTCATAATTCTTCAATTTTTTCCTTTTTTTAGATGAAACAATTAGTTGACAAATACTTCATTTATACTTTTAAATAATGCATCATTGTATACTATTTTTTACAGATATTAAAATTCATCCTCGCTTTCTTATTCCCTCTCTCTTTTCCCCCTTTTCAAATATCCTAATTTATTTTAATAAACTCCTCTATTTAAGCTAATTAATTTGATAACTGATTTAATTCTCTCTCTTTTAAATTTAATCTACAAATTTGCGATGAAAATGATCGAAATTACTGCATTTTTCATTTACTTTTGTTCCCTCCTACTTTTTTCTTGATTTACACAAATTGCTGTAAAAACAAGAAACAAAAATTAAGAAGATCGAATTCAGTAAATTTATTTTGTACTAAAAAATCCAATTAAAAATTATTTTTTATCGATATTAAAGTATGAATAAACTTGTTACTTTTACACACATAAATAAATATTTTGAAAATAATGTATTTTAATCAGTAAACATACATTTCAACTGAAAGACGATCTTAATTAATGTGAGAGAATTAATAAAAACAACAACCATCAATTAATTTACTGAAAAAAGAACAAGTTTATCAATTATTACATATTTACAATTTAAATACACATTTCTTAGAGAAAATTGAAATTTCTCATCCACATTTTACTTTTCTTTCCTTCATTTCCGATTTATTTGTTAATTAATTAATTTACTTTAATGAAAATTAGGTTAATTTAGCCATCTTTCAGCTGTGAAAATATTGAACATTATTGCCATTTTAAAAATGATGGATACTAAATAAATATCCTCAATTATATGCCAAAAAGCCCCGGTAAATTCAGGGAATCGTCAATATCATGTTATTTATATATTTTGTATCATTATTTCCAATTACACATGCAAGGTTTGCCATTTATATTTTGAATTTCAAATACAATTAATGAGAGCAGCCGTTATCATCAATTACTGATTGCACTATGATTGTCTCTTCTTTTTCAGATATAATTTTTTACTGCATAGGATTTCCCGGAAAATTTTAGGTATAGAGAATCAAATTTTGATTTCAACAAATATCACAGTTTAAAAGAATATGAAAATTATTTGGAAAGCATAGCAGAAGTATTTCCGGATTTAGTACAGTTGAAGGTTATCGGATTTACGCATGAAAAACGACGATTACTTTGTTTGAAGGTATTAATTGGTTGGAAAATTTAAAAAAAAAAAAACTACCACACTATTATGATATTATTAAAATGGGTTTAAAAGACGACGTAAAATAAAATATATTGCACATTAGCATATTATCCTTTAAACTTAATTTTATTATTAATAGATTAAAGTTTGATATTTTTACAAATGTTTTTCGCTATTCATTTTTTAAAATAATAATATTCATCGAAGCCTTTTTGTAAAAAGGAACGAAAGCATGAAAATTGTTAAAAGAGAGAAAAATTGTGGGACAAAAAAACGTTTGAATGAACAATAGTATGTTCAGCAAATAAAATAAAACATTACACAAAAAAGTTGGAATTAATTATAAATGCAGGAAATGATTGGGATGAGAATTTAAATTAAAGATTAAAACATGCATAAATTCCTTCTTTTACTCTCATTTTTCTCTACATTATCCTTCCTATTTATTACTTGATTTATGATCGGTAATCCAATACAAGAAAATAGAAAACGTATCATATGGATTGACGGAGGCAATCACGCACGAGAGTGGCCAGCATTTCATACTGCTATATTTTTTATTGACAAGGTGTCATTTTGATTAGAAATCTTTTACTAACAGTAATGAAGTAATAGCAATGATAACGGTATTTAATTTAATAACAATCATAATAATTCCAGGAATAATAAGAAAAATAAAAAGTTAAAGGATGAAATATGAATCAATATTTCATTTAAATACTTTATATCAATAAGTATAATTTTTTTTGAAATATTAATTACAACAATAAAGTGTATGAAGTGGAAATTAAAACGTTGATGATAGGCAGAAAAGTGTCCCCTTAAAAAATAGAAATAAAAAATACGGCTAAATTAAATTCACGATAATTACAATATGCATTTATTTTTACAGCTTGTAACAAATTATGGGAAAGATTCGGAAATTACGAGGTATGTTGATAAATTGAATTTTTATATACTTCCAATACTTAATCCAGACGGTTTCGTGTTTTCTCGTACATCAAAATCTGCTTTGGTACGGTTTCTTTTTGGGATTTCGTTTTAAATTATTTGACATTTTGATTAATTTTAGATAATAACTTGGATTCGAAATCATGCAAATACTAATTATGAAGCTTATTTATTATCGGATGGATTTTTTCTATTTTAGAAATATCAAACACGGTTTTTTTTTGTATTTGCTAAGATTGTATGTTAATTCTTTAGTTAAAGAGGAATGCCGAGTTAATCAAAATAATATTTGATAGACTTATTTTTATTTCAGATCAGACATTGGAGAAAAAATCGTGCTCCGGAAAATTGTACCGGTAGCATACTTTTGCGAAAAAATTTATGCTGCGAAGGAGTCGATCTAAATCGAAATTATGATTTCGATTTTCATCAAACTTTCTATCCCTTTAATAATTCATGTTCAGATGAATATCAAGGACCATTTCCATTCAGCGAACCGGAATCACGGTAAATTCTCCCCTAACATTCATTCTTTTTCGTTCATTAAAATAATCCTTCTCAGATAGTATTTTTTTTTTCATTCATTTTATTTGCAAATTTCCAGTAAAATAATAATTCAAAATTTGAACTTTTAAAAATTTTTACTTTTTTTCCTCTTCTTAAATCATTTAGAGCAGTACGAGATTTTATCACATCAAATGAATTGCGAAATAAAACGGATGCAGTGATAAGCATACATACTCACGGGCAACTTATCATTCTTCCATATAATCATCGCCGTAACACATATCCTACTGATTATGTTGACTTGGTTTGCTTCAAAAATTGAAATTTTAAACTTTTCAAAAAATTAAAGATTTATTTGAAAATGAAAAGGATTCTGTGCATATTTTTTTTCAAATTAAAATTTTCGTCAAAATTTTTATTCATTTTTGTAAAATTTTATTCCTAATTTTTTGGCAACTTAATTGATAACCTTTATTATTGCAGATGGCTGTAGCTCGAAAGATAAAAAATACAATTATAAAATTTGGTGGACACGAATATAATATTGGTACTGCTGCTGATATGCTTGGTAACATTTAACTTAACAATGATAATTAATTTTAATAATTTGATTTTCAGAAGTCTTTTTTGTTTGCAAAAGTTTCATTGATTTTTAAAGAAATCATGGATAAAAAAGATTGAAATCATAAATAGAATGGGAACAAATGCTAATACAAACATCGGCAACATGAAAGTTAAGCCATCAATGATAATAAAAATTTTGTCGCCAACTTTTACAATAGAAGGTATGTACTCGTCATGTCAACCGTGTGAGAATTTCCATCAATTGTTTTACAAATTTTTTCCTTACCAAAATTTGCTTACGTATTTCGTGGTTTCCTTTGCAGGTCCAGTAACTGGCAGTGCAACGGATTGGATTAAACAGAATACGAATATTAAATATGTTTATGTGTTTGAATTACCACCAAAATATACCAGTATCATTTTTATTTTATTCAATGATAAAACTCGTTAAATTTGAAAAAAAAAAGCACCTAATATTTTTTGAAAAACTAATAAATATTGTAAATGGTTTCAATAAAATTAAAAAAAAAAACATCTTTTTTTTGAATTTTTAATTTCTAGATCGATGATCCGGCGGTAATTTGAAAATTTGATAATTCAAAAATGCTAAAACCAATAAATTAATAAAATTTTGAAATTTTAAGATTTTTTTATTAAAAAATGGGCAAATAATTTATGAATTTTTAGCATGGTTTGCTTTTCAAACAAAACCTCATAAGTTACTGTCAACAGCAACTGAGACATGGAACGGTGTACGTGTTATTATTGATCAAGTACTGAAAGACAACGATCTATAATCTGAATTGAATACCAAAATATAAAGAAATCGGGGTAATAATCCTCAAGAATTCATTTAACATTATAATATCATTAATGTGTAACTCTAAAATACCATATACAATAATTTAGAATCAAATATGGTAGCGTAATACATATATGTATAACATATAAAATGTACTGTAATTATAAATACAGAATGAAACAGCAATAGTACGATATACGTAAGAATGTATATCGTACAGTACACAACATTCTTTCTTTGCCTTTTACTACCCAATTTATGCATATCGAAGCTGTCTTTTGTAGCAGGTTTGCTTTTCCATAAATTTCGTTGAAATACTCATATACGTTCTTTTTTCCATATATTTTTTCAGTAAAATTGATTTCGATTTATTCTATCATTTCAAATTTTAACTTTATCAATAAGGTAGTTGCAAGGAAATGTTTGGCTAATGAAATAATTGTAATTATAATTTATCTAATAAGATAAGTGTAATTGTAATTATAAACAAAAACCAGTCATAGAGCGAGTAATTTTCAAATTAAGATATATTCTTTCTTATCTATCATTTTTTTTATATTCCAAATTGGTATTGATTTGAGAAAGACAGATTATATATCTTTCATTTATCATTTTTTATAAAGCTCCTTAAATTCTATGCTTAACTATTTAGGAATTTCAATACATATTTATCATTAATGATTAAAAAATTAATCAACAATTAGTTCTCATTATTACGAATCTATCCCTGTTAAATGCCAATTATTCAACTTTACGTATTACTTCACTGCTCCTCTAATTTTGTCCACAATAGGCAAAATTAATTTTAAATAATCGACTTTAGTCTTCATGTTATTGCAAATTCCTTAAATTCTTGCTTTAATAATTTAAAATTAATATTATGATAAACGTGTATTATATTAGAATATCTTCGGTATAAACAATCTTTGTAAAATTTGTTTTAAAATTTCATCCGGTTGAGAATTCTTTACGATATGTATACCACATTATCTCAAACTGATAAATTATAAACTTTGAATTTTAAACTGACAAGACGAATGGCATATTTTGAGGAAACGAAAAATTAGTGTTTGTGTCAAAAGAAAAGCTAAACTGTCTTCTAGTGACAATAAAATGCTCACAAATTGAAATTATTTAAATTAAGGCATAAAATCAATTGAATTTTAAATAATAGAACTAATTAATGTGCTATATGAATTTGTACATTTTTCAGACTTGGAATTTTAAATTTTCTATATTGATTTAAATATGTTTCATTTACATGTGAGAATTCAAAAATACTTTTTAGTGTATGAAAGTTATAGCTTAAAATTAATTCTTTTTTTCTTCATCCAGCAATAAAAGTTTTACCGTCATTAATGAAATACAACCTGATTATTTTTTTTACCTGAACAATTATTCAATTAATTAGTTTTAACAACTACAACTTTTAACAACAAAAAAACGAAAAAGAAATGGATACTAAATATGACATGCAATGCAAATGAGATGACCTCTTCAAGATTGTCTACTTCCTCAATTTCTCTCTGTTCTATCTTTGCATTGATTGACCGAAAAAACGACGAGTGTTATCTGTTTGGAAGAGGTCGTTACGCTGACCCCACACGTGTATTGATTGGCCTTACACATTTGCAAACCTTTTTTCGTCTTTCATTAGCCGAGAAGAGACGCAGTTCGTTGAAATGGACGCTCCTTCTTCCTCCTCAACTTCTACCTTCAATTCTTCATCAGAACATATTTGGGTATTCAATTTGCCATTGAAAAATTTTACTATTTCGAAAATAATTAATAATTTCAAAAACTGCTTTTTTTGCTTTTCTTTTTTCCTTTTTCTTAATAATAATTTGGTTCTTTAATAGGATATGAAATTAATGAAGGAAGAATTGAATGAAATTGAATATGTTGATCTGTCAAAGATGAAAAACACTGCCAATGCAATGATTAAAATGTGGGAAGATATCGATCGATGCATAGAAACAATTATAATTAAAACTGAAACGGATTTTACTCCTCCTCTTAGTACTGATGTCATTCCATCCAAGAATTCGTCTGTTAGTTTTTATTTCAGCATTTTATATTGATCATGCTAATTATGAAATTTAAAAAATCACAATTCAATTCTATTAGTTATAGCATATATGTACAAAATATGTAAATCATTGTTTGATTGCTTTTGTTGTTTAAACATACCATTGCGAAAATTCCAGCAAAATCTTCTCAGTTACCAATTTCATTTACTATTGTTTATTGTTCAGAAATTGCGAGAAATAACAAAAATTGGAGAAAGAAGTAAACTGATAGGGAAAAAGAGATTTCGTATTCCTGTATTTGATGAAAATGTAAGTTTTATATTATTACTTGAAATTAATTTCAAAAAACAAATAAGCAAATGAAATAAAATATTAGGATAAAGTAAATCGAAATAATTTTCAGTATCATTACAAAAACTGTAAATTTTGTCAACATGAAATTCGACCGTGTTTCGTCCTAAGAAGAAGGCCTATCAGAGTTGCACGACTGGTACGGAGATAATTGTCAATTAAATTTCAATCAAATAATAAGGTTGCATTGTTGTTGCAATATAATGTTTTGTTAGAATTGAGATAAATTTTGGCTAAATTTAAAGCAAAGAGCTTCAGTATTTAACAAAACAGTCATTTATCAATTTTAAATTTTTGCAATAGAAATTTAAAATTTCTACAAAAGATTATAATTTAAATTTAATTTTAGCTTTTAATTTAATCGATTATAAAACTTCATTTATGACGAGTATTATATTCACTCCCAAAAATTTTGGCATATTTTCGTTCTCCTGAAATTCACAATTAATTCGATTTACAATTAGTATTAATTTCCTTTTTATTTCCATATATGTATTTCTTCATTTTTTTTTTGATTTCTAATTTTTTGTTTTTAATTTTTTTACTGACTGATTTACTTTTATTGCTTTTCTGCTATATCATTGACGATTGTAAATTTGAATTAACTGTTTCATTATTTGATTCAGTAATTCCAATTGAGAATCTTTGGTTACATATCATTGAAAAATTGGTGAAAAAAGTAAAGGAACAAGTCAAATACATATTTATTCATGTAATATTTAGAAATAAATACAACATTTGCATTTCTTCAAATCTTCCTTTTTAAAGAAAGAAACCGAAATATCAATCATTTTGTTTAAAATTCCTGATTTTTAATCGAATATGTTAATGCAAAGTTGTTGCTATAATTTTTAATTTTAGACGAATACTTAAATTATTCATTGCTTATGTACAAGTTCTAATTCGAAATTTCAGAGGTGGGATACTTTCCAATGTCGCAAAACTTTTCGTTTTGATATTTCAATACATTATTTGAAATGAAATAAATGAGAAAAGCATTGCTTTCATCACTCTCGTTGAAGTTTATAATTCATCCATTAAAATTCAGTAAGAAATTTTATTTCTTTTTTTGTTTTATCATTTCCTCTTTTTGTGATAGAAAGTGAAGTGATAAAAAATTGATTTAGAAAATAAAATTAATATCGCAAAATAACATCCCGAAATAAAATTTCATATTTTAACTTACTGCATAAAAAGTATCTCATATTTTTATAATAAAATTTGCAAATATGATGCATGCAATATTTTAATAAACAGAAATTATATAAGCAGCATTGATGAGATAAATATCTGACAAAATTAGGTTTTCATAAACTTGTCAGTTTTCTTATCATTTAATCACTTTATTCCGAACTATGTGTGTTACCTATCACAAAATAAACTTAAAATTTTAGCTATAAAGATTTGCCATACTTTTTATTTTAAGTTTATTGTAAATAAATGTTAAAAATACCACGAATAATATATTCATGCACTTTTTCATTGAATTTTAATTTTTTATTAATCTCTTAATTATTAAAAAATAATTATTGCAGACATTAAATGCATTAATTAATCAGCATTGATGAGAATAATTGATAAACTTAATTACAACTATTTTCAGAAAATATTACAGTAACCGGTATCAGACGATTCATAGTAATCTTAATCATCCAAATATGTATTTGATTATTTTAAACCGTGAATTTTCTGAGTCTGAAATATCATAGAATACAAACTTAATTTATACGGTAAGGAAAAAGTGGATTATACAGTTTTTTGGTTAAAATTTGCTTAAATTTTTTAAGCTAATAGATAGAACTTTTTTTTACTTTTAATCTCAAAATATATTTTTAAAAAGATCATCATCGTATTTTATGTGCTATATACACATATAAATAATTACTTTTAAGGAGATGAAAGCGATACAAAATAATATCATACAAATTATCAATTATTCGATAAATCCCACACATAACATCATAAACTGCAAATAAAAATTAAAAAAAAAAACAATACTTTTAATCAAAAATTACACAACGCATAAATTGATTTTAATTAATATATACAACAGCAGAAACATATTAAACACAAAGATTAACATTGGAAAAATTTTCTACAACTCGTATTTGTTTAATTTATTGCTTAGCTTATTTAAAAATTTGATAAATTCGATGATCGATAATACTCTTCTCAAAAATATCATTAGTAACAATAATACTAGTAATATATGTATGTATATACAACGATAATATTATTGTTGTTGCTATTAACGGTAATAATAATAGTAATAGTAATTATCGAATTAATGATATCATTTTTAATAAAAAAAAAAGAAAAATATGAGTAAACGTAAAAATAAAAATACTGAGCAAGCTCATTATTGGTTGGCCGACAAAAAAAGTTGGAAAATTTGGATAATATGATGAAATGTTCAAAATTATCCAAAATAACAATGAAATTTTTTCAAATGTAATTTCCCATACTATGACTTCTTGCTACTCGCCTTCGTCGTCTTATACTGCCATGAAATGGATTTGACATTGAACGAGATTCCAATTTAACAGGCTGAAAAGATGGATAAATTAATTATTTAAGATATTGAAAAATGAAACAATTTACAAATCAATATTGCCGTTTTCCATCATTACCCTCTGATTATTCACACATACTATCATCTCTCTTTCTTTTTCCACTCCATTTCTCACACTTCTATGATAAATTAAAATCAATAAGAAAATGATAGAATACATCTGTAAGATCAATTGTTGAAACGCTGGTCCCAGGTTTGATAAATTCTGCCATGTAATCCTCTTTAATATCATCTCCATTTTCTTCTATCGTATTTTCATCCTTTTTTAATTCACGAAGTTTACGATCTAATAACTGACTGAACATACGGTACAAAGCTTCTGTATTTTCGCTTGATGTCATGTACTGTAAAATTTTTATCTTTTAAAAACTAGCAACATTTTAAGCTTTATTAGTGCATTGAAAATTTCATTGATATGTGATTGTTTAGCCATTTTTAGCATGCAAATCATTTAGCCAATGAAAAATGTAACATCAAACCTTTTTATTAACATCAGGAAATTCCTGAGATTTCTTCAATAAATCAGTGAAGAAACAAATAATAAACGATTTTTATAAATTGGAGTTTATGAATTTGAAAATTTTACGTGACATAAATTAATTAATAATTTTTCAAATAAAATGACAAGAATTTAATACTTTTGCAATTTCGGTCCTTAAATTCGATGGATCATTTGCTCTGGATTTTTCATTAAATAAATATTCCAAATTGTTATAAGATGACGAAGCAACCTTGTCAGATATACTTTTGCTACAAATAATACTGTAGTTTAATTTCATCATTTCCTAATTTTCATAGTATGACCTTTTTTTAAAATATGTGACCTTTGGAAGTATCATTTATACTCCACGCAATAAATCATACGCTTACTTTATCTACCATATAATTCATGCAACAGAAATTTAATATTACTATAAAATTTTCAATAAATTTTGATTTCCTAACAAAAGTTAAAAAATGTTAGGCTCGATGTCAATTAAAAAAAAAGAAAGAAGAAAGACGTAAAATTACGAATGTGAAAAAAATCGAAATTACGATTTGCTTGGCATATGAATTTTAGGCCCAATATCGCTGGCCATTTCCATAGCTTCTTTTAATGTTATTTTTGTATAGGCTCGAATGATTTTGGATGCGTCAAATTGATGAGGCTTTTGATTTCGCATTAGCAGCGGTCGAAAGATCGTCGCATTTAAACGTTCAAAGCTAAAATTTCAATTTTAGATTTTTATGCTGTTCTTCCTTTTTTCTTTTTAAATGATAATATTTTATTTGACTGTTCCTTCTTTTGATAATCCAATTAAATTCCGTTTAAATAAAGAAAATTTTTTTTGAAATGGAAATTATTATATTAATACATACATTATTGAGGAGTTTTTTTTAAATAATTTAAACTAAATTTGAACTAAAAATAAAAGAGAAAAAGGAGAAATATTGTAGCTGTAGCATATTTGAAGTATTCAAATGATATTAAAAATTTCACAATTAGTAAACTTTCAACCATTCAAGATCGAAAATTTCTTCCTGTGATATTAGTATTGCAAGATTGAGATTTAGATAATGGAAGAGTAAATTTTAAGCTTTCAATTTTAAATTTAGCGAATTTCATGAGCTCTGTGTATGTTCTTTATTAATCTTCTACTAAAATTAGCTTTGTAAAATATGAGATCGACATATTAGTTAATTGACGAATATTTAAAAAACGACAAATGAAAATTTGATAAACTTACGCATCACGTACTGAATTGTAACCTTTTTGGCCGGCAATATCTTCCACACCAGCCATTGTATAATCGAAATACTTAAAATGTTATCAGAAAATTATCAGATTTAAAAACCTCACATTAACTTTTTCCTCCTCAAATAAAGAATTAGAAAAAAACTGATAAGAATTTAATTAACGAGTGAGTTAAATTATTAATTTAAATTAGTGAATTGAATCATTAAAACGAATGAATTAAATTAAAATTTAACCATTAATCCTTAAACTGTACATTTAAATCTCCGGTAAAAAGTTCTGAAAAAAACTTTAATATAATTTCTACGTTATTTAATTTGCAAAAAATAAAAATAGGAGTTTTGAATATCTGAAAATGTCTAATATCTATTTTTATTGTGTTACTGATGATCAATTGCTGAAAGTACCCGCATGTAAACACTTTGTATCATTGTTGGACCTTCTTGCCTTTCACGTTCAATGTTTAAGTATGTCGCTAAAGGTCGGATTGTTATTCCCTGTAAATACAACTTATCACATTTCAAAGGAACAAATTTAAAGTTAAATTTTGAAATAAATTCTTTTATTTTCCTATTTCTTACAAAATATGATGCTTTCTTTCCGATAAATTTAAGCATGTTACGGTAATATTTTTGTTTTATAATAGCACTGAATGCTATTTGTAGTCATATAATTATGATTAATTAGTATGATAGTAGAAGGGAGAACTGTGAAATTGAAAATTACTGCTGAACTACCTGTGAAATTATTAATGCTTATTCATCTTATGCAAAACATTTTTCGACAACACAATCTCAATTACAAACTGGATCCGAAAATCAAACTAACTTGCAGAAATACGGTGAAGTAAATGACGGCTATACAGGCTGTGGTGAACATACTTTTAGCATTAATGTTATTCGGCATGGAAACTACCAAGCCGAAAGCGATAGCTCCTCGTAATCCGCCATAACACAAAATGAACTGATCAACTCGAGTGAAACTTTGTTTCCGGAAACGATTCAGTATAGCGCACTGTACGATTACTCCTACAAACTTAATCCAATTGTGAAATTAATGGCTTTGATAAATTCGTAAACTTGTTCGTTACTTTCAAATTACATGTTGTCAAAAATTTAACACAGCAAAAAAGATATGTTACCGATGGTGCGATAAACCAAACAGAAGATAATTGTGAGTACGATAAATGGTAAATCCCAATGATGTTTGCTCGAAATGGTTGATAAGCCAAGAAACATGAAAATGACCGTTTCACAAATTTGTGCTAGCATTTTAATGAAATATTTGACAGATGTCGCAGCCGTTGTAGTAATATTACCTTTAACATACTGCTTCATGGCCATACCGCAAGCAACGATCCTAAAATTTGATTTGGTAAAGAACTGAAATTTAAAATAGTTTATCTTTAACTTTTATAAATTACATAACATTAAAATTTTTTTCTCAGTCAATGAAGTTGTAAGATTTGGAAAATAATATCACTGGAAAATATTTACAAATTTTGATATTTTAATAGTTTTTATATTATGAAAAAATATATAATTTATGTATGCAAAATGTTTTCATTATTATTTATAAACATTTTGATGGAATTCCATAAATAACTCACGCTAAAATGGATGAAAGTCCAAACATTTCACCCGTTAAATATGCCATATACGGTATTAGAAATATGAAAATTGGATTTAATATTTTTACTTTATCCGTATACCTGTAAAATTGTTTTTCGATTTTCAAATTCTCAAAATTTTTGTTTTTCCAATATTTTTCTGCAACCTAATGTAGGTTATAACTGAAATTAACTAGATAAAAAATTATTTCGCGAATTTAAGCACATGTAAATTGCAGAAGAAATTTTACCACTTTTATTATATTTAAAAAATCCCGAACTTTTTAGAAAGTTTAAGAATATAATAACATCTAGCAAAGGATAATTTGAATTTTTCCAATCAATTTTTAATTTCAACAGATTTCATTATTTTTTTGATTGAAAATTTAGTCAGAACAAAGAAAAAAGCTTACTTGGTGATGAAGCTAACAATAAAAGCATAAAAAAGACCAATCGCTGTACCGCCAAGACCAATCACAAAAAAACTTATACCGCCAGCAAAGTAATCAATCGGAATTAGCTTATCTTTTCCAATCAACACAAATTTGCGGAACATTTGATACAGCACCTAAATTAAAATACGTAAAAACAAGTATCTTTCGTTTAAAATTTAAGTAATTTCTTTCCTTTCGAAGAAAATGGTTTAAATAAATTTTATATTAAATGAAATTTAACAAATTTATTTAATCCCCCTCAGGTTGTTCAAATTTAAAATTCAAATTCAGAATAAACATAAATCGCACAAATCATTGTTTTTAACTGCTCCCATAATTAAACTGTTAATATTTTGAAATTATTTGCGAATTTTTTCTGCTATATTGTAGTTTAATATTATCAAAATCAAATTATCAATCCATATTTCACTTAAAAAAATAAATTGATCAATGAATTGATCAATTAATTGCTTGATTAATTGAAAAAGTGAATATTTTATAAGGAAATAATTTACCACTGTGATGCCATCGTTGAACAATGCTTCCCCGAAAACGGTGATAAAAAGAGTTTCATTAACATGAATCTCCTCAAAAACTGCTATCACAGCTACAGGGTCAACAGCACTAATTAATGCCGAAAAGAGAAAAATTTCGAAAATAGAAAATTTAATTGAGAATGCATTTAATAAACCAAGGCCATACAATGACGAGCCTAAAATATATAATTAAAAAAAGGCAAAACTATTCGATAGTAAATAAGGCTGAAACATTTATTGTAATCTTTTAAATTTTATGCATACAATAACTATAAAATACTTATTCATTCAATAACTTTTTTTAATTGACCATTCAATCGGAATTTAACGATAGTAAATAAATATTCGAAGCAAAAATGATTTTTTCGATATCGATTTTGAACGAGACCGAAAATTTTGTTTCGATCTCAATTATTAGACAACTGTGATTTTTTTGAATCCATTATTTATGTGATTTTAAAATTAGAATTTTAAAATATGAAAAAATCTGAGAAATTTTAAATTTTACTGAATTGCTGAAAGTTTACCTATTGCAAAGCAATTCCATATGGTTCCAATAACGGCAAATACCAAAATTGAGCCAAAATTTTCAAACAAAGCTCTGTTTGGCATGAAATAACCTAAAAATCAAATGAATCAATAAAGTTACTACAATTATATTGTATTATTCACACGAAAATAATTTATATAATTATGTTAAATATAAACCTGCGATTGGACTATCAAACAATTTTGAATTACTTCTATCGAACTGATTCATTAAAATTTCGTTTTTTTTTGCAGTTTCAATTTTAAAATTGATTATGTACTACTGTTATGTTGATCAAATTCAATTTTGGTAAAAGTCAGTAAATGATAAATAAGTTTCAAATTTAAAAATTGAAAATGAAAAGTTAACCTGCATCAAAAATAATTGGTGGAAGCAAGTAAAGGAAGAAAATATTTGCTTCAAGATTGAATATTGAATCATTAACATTGGATAGCTTGAGCAGAATACCCAACATAAGGCCGACAACAATCAGTAACGCTGAATCCGGAAATGTATCTGCCACCCGTTTCGATATATGAAACACTGTCCAACCCATCACATACATATATTTTTTTGTTCAAAAAAAAATTTAATATTAATAAACTAAAAATTTGCAAATTTTAATTTTACATTTATTTGATTTGAAATCTGCAGCAACAAAACCTGTTTTAAAATTATTTTTACGAGAGCATGAGTACAAATTTTATCAACAAAAAGAGATACAGTATGAAATTCGGAAATCATCACGTTTCCAACATACGTTCACGTTTCTGTTACAATGACATAAAACAATATTGCATCAGCAAAGAATGAGCCAACAATGATGATCAGAGTTGAAGTTGAAATTTCTTCTTTTTTCTCCCTCTGTCCCTCTCTTCCTTTCTTTAATTAATTAAATGGGAAAAATTTTAGTCTGTGAAAAAATGAATTTTGAAAAGAGAAAATAAAAACTAACCCATTTTAGCAATTCCAGCAAGTAATAGCCATATTGCAATAGTATATGGTTTTTGGACTTCTTCCCAGTTAAATGAAATCACCTTAAAATGCACTTAATTCTTTCATTCAAAAATTACATTTCATTTAATTTTCATAGCTATTTTTTTCTCAAAACAATTAATAGCAAATAAATTTGATAACGAATATGGGAAAGTAAATATAAGGAATAAAAAAAAGGAAAACAACAAATAATCAAACGCTATTTCAAACCAATTCACTTGTATGATTTTAAAATTTCAAGAAGCTGAAAAGAAAATAGAATTTTTAAAGTTAAAATCTAATTCATACTTGAAAACGGCCCGGTGTTTCTTCAACATGAGGTGCAATTTCATAAAAATCTCTCCAATTTCCTTTCACTTCACGTTCGATAGCCGATGCTAATTTGAGAGATGCTAATAGCCATAACAAATATGAAAATAATTTGGTAATTTCTTGTAATTTCATTTAAAAAAGTTTTTTTTTTTCGACTATATTTCTCTTTTCAACTGTTTTTATTTGTTCATTCACTCATTCGTTTTTCTTTTTTCCTTTTTCTTCGTTTATTTATTTATCCATTTTTCAATTATTACAAACAAATAATTAGCAAATCCTATACCGATTGCTATAGACATCGGATATATCGATTCTTTCTGCTTTCGATATATTCTTTTCTTCTTTCCCTTTATCTTTTTTTAAAATTCTCTCCCAATAAAGATAATTCAAATTTTACTCTGTAAATTTTAAAACTTGATTAATGTAATGAAAACTTGAAAATTAAGCAATTATTTATAGATGATATGGTACATTGTGGCAGTAGAAATGAATGAAATTAAAACCTTCAGTTTTAAACAAGGCAAAGAAAAAAAAAAGTAAAACAAATGTTAACGAACAAAAAATAAAATTATAACAAATAAAAATGATAATAGGTGAAATATTGAGGGGTATTCAAGATTTTTTATAATCAAATGCACAAACTAAGTTAGATTAAATTTTCAATGGTTGCCATAGTAATGCTTGAAATCATACATAAGCATGCTATTGTTATTTATGAATGAAATCTTAAACAGTAATAGGAAAAAAGCAATATTTGCAATAAAATCTATCACCAAAGAACTGATCATTAATTAGTGGGATTTCAACAATTGAAGGAAAATTTTAAAATTTCGATCTCCTTTTTATTAATATTTAGCCTGAAATAACGGATTAACCTGAAATGACCTCATACTCATATGATCACAAAATTAAAGAAGAAATTCTTGAAATCATAAGTGAAACATAACCATTCCTATTTGCTCTTTATGCATACATGTATGCGTTTGTGCATGTATGCATGCACGCATGCATGCATGTGTGCATGTAAATGTTTGAATATGTTTGCATTTAATTGTCTTTTTTTGTCTGTGTTATGTATGAATGTTTTATTACATTTCTTATTTTAATAAAAGGATTTGAATGACATTTAAAGCTAAAAAAATAAAAAGTAAACATTCCAATGGCACTTCACAATAAGTAATTTGATAAATTTGTGAATATTGCTATTAATTGGCGAATTATGTGAATTATTGATAAATATATGTCAATAATTAATTAAATTAATTGAATGAAATGATTTTTTCCCTCAAAATTCTGTTAGACGTTTAAAATTTGCAATGACAACAACAGGGAGCTGAAAAGAAGACATGTAGGGAAGATGGAATCGAAGAGCAGTGAAAATGAAAAGTTAAATTTTCCTTTTGTTTTTTTTTTCGAAAAAAGAAATGAAATTGATGGTGGCGGATTTTTTGTTTTTCCTCAAAAAATTATTGTCTTTAAGGTGTGAAAAAAGAAGAAAAAGAGAAAGAAAGAGGAAAAATCATTCAGTATAGCAGAGATTTGATAGACGAAACATTGAAAAATAAAAACATTTACTATCGCTTTTCGTTCTGATCCTTTCCAACTGAAAATAAAATTTGAAATCAAATGACAATAAATAATTTCAAGTAATGTATGTGTATTATGTGAGAGTGTGGTGACAATAGGAACTGTGTATTTGTGATTCACTTAGTTCAATTACAAAAGTGTGAAAGGACTTGGGTGCGTCTATTGTGTCGCATTGTTTGGCCAATGACAACAATGATCAGTCATTATTCTTAGAGAAGAGGGACCAAAGATTGTTTTCATTCTATTTCAAAAAGAAATAATTTTTTGGTTCATTTTATATTCTCCCAAACAAATCTTTGTGTACAAAAAGTGTGATGAAGCATATTATATTATTTTCTTCTTTTCTTTAACTTTCCATTCTTTGGTGAACAGTAAATATTATTTATACAATTTTGTACTAATTTTAATATTGTCACAATGACAATTAATATTATGACGGTGATGATTGTGATGATTATTGTCATAAATGATAATGGAGTGTATCGTGACAACAAAGAGAAGATAACGATTAATATTGCCATAATGATGATTATGATGATATTAGTACTAAGATAATTATAATAGTAATGATTAATATTGTTATGCAGATAATAAAGAGTTTTAAACTATTCTGTTCATATTACAGATAAAATGACCTGCTATCTGTTATTAGAAAATTAGCACCTTTGAAGTTCCATAATCAATAGCTGTTGATTAATACCTGAGAAATTTATATTTAGAAACTTCAACATGAAGATTTTCATTTCACATTTGTTGCTTATTGATTAACAATAGCTAGATTAAAAAAGGTTTTGAAATGTCTTTAAATTTAAGAAATTTTTAAGTTCTGCCAGTGCTTTTTAATTAAAATGGTCTAATTTAGCGTATACATGCAATGTATTACCATATTTTTATAAGCTACCATCCTTTATTATCAATGCTCATTACCATATTCTACTAAACATTGATCTTGTACGATTCCTACGTTCATCACTTCGCATTTATCACTATAGCTTCTTCCATTCGTATCATTATTATCACTATCATTAGAATTCTAATTCTGTATATCATACAGTTTAGAATTTCCCAACAAATTTAATCACGTATTATTTAACTTTTCACATATTTCAATATTCAAACTATTGCTCCCGTTACGTTTTTATCGGAAATGATAATTTAGGTTATGTTTGATTTTATCACTACACAAATTTAATAAATTAAAATTCATTTATTTGCTATTTAAATAGCATATTCTTATGAAATCATTTTGTGATTGAAAAGATAACTTAAAGATATTAACTACTGCAAACATACATTAATTAGTAATCATATAATTTATAGTTATTGACAGCATACGATCGTTTTCCACCATAATTATCAATTTTTCTAATTAACCTCAAATAATTAATTATAATGAATGCAACTGATTGTGTAACATTTCCCTATTCAATCTAATATCAAAAAGAAAAATGAATTATAAAGCATTTATTTCATTATGTTAATAAATTAACAAGTTAATGAAAATTTACGATTTAATGAAAACAGTAAGTGCTCATAAAAAGCAAACAAATATATGGAAGATTTTCTTTTATGTTAATGATAATATAAGAAAAAAAGGGAGATAAGTTTTTTCTTAAAGGATATTTTTGATATGATAAAGGAATGATCGAAGAAAATGAAATAAAAATTTTGATAAAACAAAAGTTTCATCCAAAAATCATTCATTTCTTGAATTTCAGTAGAATTAAAAAATATATAACAAAAATGTGGAAATTATTTAACTCAAAATATGATTTAATATTTTATTTGTATAACTGACCATAAATTTTTTAAATTTTTCTGCTAAAATAAAATTGTTTTCAATCCTTTCTCTTTTTTTGTTACACAATTTATATTTTAACATTTATTTATTTTTATTCACTCATACAAATCATTGAGAAGTCAAAAAGGTAAAAAGTTAAGAAAATTAGTCATATTGCTAAAATACATTTCAATTTTTATGGGAATTTGTTATATACCAAAGGAAGAAAGTTCTTTCAGCTTCGATTACTGTGTAATTACTATAATTATTAAGAACAATTCAGAATTTTTTCCTTAAAGAATGAGCGAAATATTTATTGCATTGATAATGCATTGGTGATAATTACTGTAATCATAATGGTTGATTAAAATTCCCATGAAAATTATAATTATCGTTCTTAATTAATGAAAATTTACGATATCACTCTGTTATTGGTATAACGATAATTGATGATGATAATTTATTAGCAATGTGATTCTATCATTTATTGTCATACATTATATAATAGCAAGAAATTTGTCATTATTTAAGATTTTAAAACATATAATTGATAATTATCATAATTAGTATATACGGCCAACAGATCTTCTAGTAAAAAATGATTTTAAAAAGCCGGTTAAATTTCAAAATGCAGTAAAAAAAGAAATACTATATATTCAGAAAATTTCATCCGTATCCGGCATGAAATTAAGGAATATAATAAATGTCATGAAATTTGAATAAAAATTTAATGGTGTAACTTAATTTTTAAATAGGAAAGAACGGGAAAATTTATGTTAATTTTAAATGTCAATTTCAAAATATGCAATACAATGAAGTAAATTTATGGTCAGATTCTATGCTTAAAATGTGTAATTTGGAAATGAAAGGCCAAAGGGAAGTAAAAAATGCACCATTAATTTCAGTGATCGGAAAATTTGTTACATTTCAAAAAAAGTATGCATTCATTCGCTACCAATTCGTCCTTCTGTCCATCCACTCACTTTCCAATTTATCTCATTTTCTTTGTTATTTCGGCACTAACTCTTCTGATGATAAGCGGTACGATACTATTACAAAGTTGGTGAAAAAAAAAACCTAAATTAAGCACTTGTCGTCGATGGCATGACAAGTTAAAGAAGACAAGGGCGAGTGTACAATTCATTTAGTTTAAACGAATGAAATTTGGATTAATGAAATTAAAACGAGTATTTAAAATTACGGTGCAACGACTATAAGCGAATAGTTAAATTGGTTGGTTGCAATAATTTCATCAATGATCGTTGTTGCTTTTGAATTGACAAATAAATACAGTTTGATGTGTTGTATGTGTTGGTATTTATTCAATCGATTTTTATTAATCAAAAGGTCAGGTCAAAAAACGTAGAAAAACCTAAATGACATTAGAAATAACTAATATATAAACAGGTACCTCATTATTTTCTGCTCTCTTTTCCACTTTTGATGATTTATGAAATTTTATAGCTTCATAGCAATCAGCATTTTCATCACTTACACAATACTTAATAGATTTATAAAAAAAAATGAATTCGGAAAAATTTCAAAAGGATTGCATGAAATAACATTTAATAACATTTTATCTTTATAATTGCTGAATAAATTTTTCCTATTCATTTTTTCCATTTTTTCCGAAACATAAATTAGTCGCTTTTATGTTTTTTACAGACAAATTGCCAAATCATAATTTTAAATAAAATTTAATATATGTTTACAAATTAACTATCTTCAATTTCTTAAAGTTAAATTTGTTAGCAAATTAACCATC